GAACCTTAGTTCTTTAAGCACCTCCAAGGATTTCTGTGGAGCCAGAGGCTGAAAGTATAGAATAAGTTATTTCTAGAATACATAACCTCATTGTACGAGGAAGACTCTGCATCTAATTCCAACTGAGGACTATGAGCAGGGTTTGCCTGTGGGAGTTGTTACAGGCCAGCCAAGGTAGCCACAAGAACCAAAAAACCAAACCAAACCATTGCTATGGAGTCGATTTCGACTCATAGTGACCCACAGGACAGAGCAGAACTGCCCCATAGCGTTTCCAAGAAGCAGCTGGTGGATTCAAACTGCTGACCTTTTTGATTAGCAGCTGTAGCTGTTAACCACTGCACCATCAGGGCTCCAACTGGCACTAAACCAGTTATTGTACAAGTAGAGTAGGGGCCGGCCTAAAGGTAGATTATGGACTAGCAGGCCACTTCTTTCCCCTCTGGCTCAAAAAATCTATAATCTCAAAACCCATATGAAGTTCGACCCCAGGCACGGAGCTGAATTTGAAGAAATACATTTTAGAAAATAGGCATGGACCCATGAAATCCAGTTGACTACTTTTCCATATGTATGTTTTCTTCTTTCAAGTTTACTGCAACCGAAAATTCCTGTTTCAAGAGCGACTCAGTGATTCCTGCTGACATGGCTGTCAATGGCCTCAATATTCATAGATAATTAAATGAGAATTTAAAAAGATTTTTATTTTAAAATGATCTTGACGGGAATTAAACAGGTAAATTCTTTTCTCCTTTCCTGAATTCTGGGGAGGAGGGACTAGCAGGGACAAGATGTACACTTTGACCTGTTGGTTCTCCCCGATTATCCTTTCTCTCTTAGACATTTTGCTTTGGATCTTTCAATCACCTGCACGTCCATAACTAAGATGTCGTTTTTCACTGAATTCTATTTTGTTATTTTTGTCAAAAGGTAAGTTTGAACTCATGAGTGTGAGAAAATTGATCTTGTTGCTAATGGGATAGAGTCGAAATAAGCAGTTTGACTGACTTCTTCACTCCCTTATATTAGCATTGCTACTTTTAGATAAACTATTCCTGAAATGATTAGTGTAGGAGGATGGGTTTAGTCTTGTATCTTCTCCTTTAAAGCACTCAGAGTGAGAGATCCCAGAAGGATCAGTTTTCTCACTTGTACTGAAAATGTCACTCTAACAGTTATCTGTCTGCACAGTCAAGTTTTCAGAAATCTTTTGAATTTACCGCATTCACACCATTTTCCATCATGGTGCTAAAAATGACTAATGCAGCCTGGAGACTGGGAGACTGTGATAGCTGATCATCTTTTCCAATCCTACATTAACACTCACACATACACACTCACATACACACATGCTTAGCTGACATTATGAATCCGTATAGGTTTAAAATATCCTATGTGCTAAATGGAATGCTGAGGGATGGGGCAGTGCCTGAACGTATCCTTCACAGAGTACTGGTTTCATTATGCTCGCTTCCGTCAAAAGATTGGTCTTGTTTGACTGAATAGACTGATATTGTTTTTAACCAACTGAGCCATTGTAATGTTTGACTTTACATTTAAAAATAATCCATGGCATTAAAATATTAAAATAACTTATTTGTCGTCTGTCATCCCTGAGAAGAGTGAAGCGCAGCACTCACTTTTTTGAATAGGAGGAAACAGCATTACAGAGGCAATGACCTACCCAAAGCCCTGCCTATGGTCAGAGTCGCTGTCTTTTAGTGGTCATAAGTAGTCGTATAAGCCAGTGTAGGCTCACTAGAACCCAATCATCCGAATTTATCTTATTTCCTTTTTTTGAGGAATACTATCCTGACGGTGAATTCAAGGGGTTGTCACAGACACAGACATATCTACTCCCAGAAGGATGTATGACAGAGTCTCCTATGATGTCATTTAGGGCATGATGGAGAAGTGTGTGGGCTGAGAGACAGTAATTAGGTGAATAGGTAGCTGATTACATCGAAAAGGGTATGATTAATTGATTGCCATTAACTTGCTAAATTTCCACAAGGCTCTATTTTTGGTCCTGTCCAATTTAACAATTTCATCAATTACCTGAGAGAGGTCTACCAAACTTGCAGATGGCACAAAATTAGTAAAGAAGTAAAGATTAGTAATTCACTGGATGACAGAATCAAGTTTCAAAAATATCTGTTATTTAGGGTGATGGGTTGACATTTATTAAGGATAAAGGTAAAGTCTTGCATTGAATTAGAAAAAGAATATTGCGATGAGTGGAACTGAACTGAGAGGAAATGCTAAAAATGAAAAGTAAAGTTAAAAAAAGCTGTCTAGGTTTTAATTGACCATAAGCATAATGCAACTACTAATAAAATCAACACATTTCTCTGTTCGCATTCAGAGCAAGTGTCCAGGTTGATAAAACTAACATATCTATCCTGATTGTAACTGCCTTAAGTATTGTGTTTGATTCTGGAAACCACATTTTAAGAAAGATATTGACAAGTTTGTTGTTTGTTTAATGGATGGAGGGTCCTTGATAGTAAAAACATCAGGGAATCTTGTGATATGAAAAAACTGAGGATGATTTGTTTATAAAATAGAAGGGGATCCTGACAGCTATCTTTATGGAGCACTTACTATGTGTCGCAGATTATTCTAAATATTGCTTGTGTTTAATCCTCAGAACTGCATGATGAGGTACTTGTTGTCAATGCTGATATGGAAACTGAAGATGCACACAGTAGATGACCTGGATTCAAATCCAGGTAGTCTGACTCCAGAGCTCACTCCCTTAACAGTTGTACCACTTTATTTCTCCAAATATTTATCAAATGATTGAAGAGCTGGTATGTGAATGAAAAATGAGACTTTCTCTGTGGAACACAACTGATTACCAACAGAGGGGCAAGCTCAGGTTATATCTCAAAGCAGAGATTTTTTCCAGGCACTAGAGGGTGCCTAGTGCATTATCTGGTTTTTGCTACAAAGTTAGACTAGATGATCTCCAAGTCAACATCCAAATCTAAGATTCTAACTTACTGGGCTATGATTTGATGTAATACACTATTCCTGTGAACGTAAAAAACAAAAACAAAAAAACCTTATTTGAAGAATTAAGTTAAATCAATTAGTGGTAGTTTAAATGGTGTTCCCTCAGGCATAAGTTTAGAGAGTGCCCTGCCTCACATCCCATCTTGCTAAGATGGCCTCACTGTGTGTCCTTGATAACCTTCCTTTCATGGGCACAGAACTCTGCCAAAATTATATAAACTTTTGTTTATCTGTCTTTGAACTGTGTCTAGAATATTATCAGTATTATCTTACATAAAGGCCCCGATCCAAGGAAGTTATGTTACAGAAGTAACAAATGTCATTAAAAAGCCTTCTCATTGGGGGTCTCCTACTAGCTGCTTGGTGTATTGAATTCAATGTTGGTATTGTTTTCAGAAAGCTGAGCTTCAGATCTCTGTCAGATACTAGTGCAGTGACTGGAACACTTCACTTTCTCTTTTATGCCTTAGTTGTTGCATATGTGGAATATGGGTGATGATATTACCACCTTTTATAATAAATTCAATACTGCGTGCAAAAGCTCCTAACACACCATGCAGATTCTATTAAACATTTAGATTTGCAGTGAAATGTATTTGCAAGAGTAGTTCCTTAAGCAAATATATGATCATTTTAAATTTATGTAAAAGATAAACTGGTGATGATATTTGAATTTTCAGTTCTTCTAGAATATGTCAAATCTGATCTATTATAGAAATGTATTTTCAGAAATATCTTTATTGAATAATGTGAAGAAAGGAAACGTGTATTCAGCACCTAAAATATTTCAGGTACAGATATAGGTAAGACTTTTCCAGGCTCTCTTACAAATCCTAATACAAGTACTTTCTCCCTTGTTTACATTACCAGAGAAGTCAGCAATTTGCTGCAGTTCACAGTTATGACAGTTTGGATTTGAGCTCTTCAAGAAATGGAACCATGCTTTTGCCTGACTTTCTCAAATAACTAAGAAGAGGAGGCAGTTTGATCTTGTCAAGCACCAAACTAGTCATTGAATTTATTACTCTTAATTTTATTACTTTTTTGTGTTTCTGGAAGTTTTATGAGGGCTTGGAGGTATCTATCTTGCTTGCCTCAGAATCCCCAGTGCCCGATATGGTTCCTGACACAGAGTAGGTCTTCAATATTTCTTGAATGGTGATCTAGTATTAAAAGGAATTTCTTATTCATAGAAGTTAATTTTTCCATAGTTTGAAAGTAGATAAGAGAACACAAACCAGTACTTTTGTTACATTAAATGTAGATCTGTATGTATTTTTGAAAGTAGGGAAGAATAAGTTTGAGCTGTTTTCCTTAAAATAAACACAAGTAAATTAAAATAAAATTTAAGCTATAATAACATATTAGAACAAATAAAGAAAAAACCCCATGGATTTAAAATACAGTAAAGACAGCTAATCGTCATTGTCATCTGTCTGATTTTTCCACCAGCACATGTAACCAAAAAGTACTACTTTTTATATTTATATCTGAAATGTTTTTGTTTCCAATATCATTGGTTATTCAACTCACATTTTCTCTTTTGCTGCATAGACATGATTTCTGGTAAATCATGGGGGAAAAAGATCATACAGATACCCTGTCCACCTATATTTACACAGAACTTACCTTTTCTGAGGATTATCTCTGCCAATTATGAGGCATTATTGAATATGGCCTCACTGAAAGACTCAGTAAGAATATAATGACCAGTTTGTTGTAAAATACAGTAAGACAGCAGACAGTGTCTCATGAGAAGTGACATTCTGTAATTACCACATCCTATCAGAAGAAAAACAATTCCCAGAAATTAATGAATACCGCAAGAGTCTATTTCCTATCTTAATTCTATCTTAATTGCAAAAGTAGATCAATTAAAAAAAAAAAAACTGCACTGGCAAAGCCCCTCTCTTAAGGTTGTGTCTTCTCATTCCTCAGCCATCAAACCAACATATATAAGCACACCCTGAACTTATTTTTACCTTCTGAGATGAGATATACCAACTCCACCAGCACCGCTCCCATGAAACAACCAAATCCATTGAACAGTGACAAAAAATTCATAGAGGTTCCTCTGATGCTGCTTGGAACAAATCTGTATGATAGTACAGATACTAAGAGAAAAAAGATCAGAATTTAGAACATTCTCCCTAAGACACTTTATAGATATGTCCAAATTAGTGTTGAGCATACCTCAAATAAAATTTACTGTACGGTCAAAATTTGGGTGGGACTTTATCAAGGTTACTATAGTAAGATCTATTACGATATTACAATTTACAGATATCTATAAGGAAGGAAATATACCTTTGTACAGCTTTGAAAATAATTTGATTAGTTGGTTGGGTGTCTCAATATAATCACCCAAATTTCACACCAGTTTGGTAATTTGAATATTTCTGATGAATTTTGGATTGAGGTGAGACTTGCACTAGATAATATCATGACAATCTATTAATGAGAGCTATGATTCTGTGATTCTATGAAAATTATTAGGTTCCTTATGGAAAACTTGAATTTATCATATAAACTTAGTATAGTGGTTAAAAGCATGAGCTCTGGAGTTAAACAAGATTTTGCTGAAATCTCAGGCCAACAGCTTACTATCTCTGTGACTTTAGATAATCTACTTAAACTCACCAAGCCTCAATGTCCTCTTCTATAAAATGTGCATAATATCATTACTCACTTTGCAGAAGTTCTGTGAGGCTTACTTGCTGTAATGCACATAATCTTAACACAATGCTTAACTTCTCGGGACTGAATAAAGGCTAGTAATTTCCACAATGCCAATCCTACCAAATCAAATAGCACCTACTTTTTGCAAGACCTTGTGCTATGCCCTTTAGATGCACTATCCTGTTTAAGGAGAGAACACCTAAAGAGAGACAATAACTTAAACATCGGGCCTCCAAGATGGCTGTTTTCTTCTAAGTCTTCTTGGAGTAGTAGTAATAATGTTGGCAAAAGCTTGGAAGAAAATCATGGAAAAAATTTGAAAAAAAATTTAATTAAAAATGTATTTTTGAAATCAGAAATGATAGATGAAAATCAGCAGTACATATGATTTAGTGTGTGCCATATTAACACAGCTATATTAAGATATGTGTGGTGATCGTAGGGATACATACAAGATACTTATGATGTTTATTATAATATGATATCTGGGATTTGCTTCAAAATTATACAGTAATGAGAAAGCAGGGTATGTGAATGAGGGTAGAGATGAAACAAGTTTGGCCATGAGTTGAAAATTTTTGAAACTGGAAGATGGATACATGTGAGTTTATTATCTTAATACCTCTCTTTTGTATATGTTTAATATTTTTATAGTAAGAGTTTACAAAATGGCCTGGCAGAAAAATTGTAAAGAAATCCATTAAATTACATTAACAGTTTTAACCTGGAGTGGTTGAATTATTGAGCTTTAACTTTTCTTCTTACTCTTCTATGCTTTCCAAATTTTCTATAATGAGGGATCACAAATAAATATTAAAGTTCATTTTTAGAAGAAAAGGAATAATAGGGAACCAATGTTATCGTAAACACTAAACCATTAACTTCCTTCCCTTTAAGAAGAGACAGATGTTATTATCTCCTCCCTTCCCTCTCATGAATATTTCTTCCTTAGTTACTTATTCTTCACTCAAGGAAAACTCAGTATTTGCTCATCACTTTTAAATGAACTTACTAACACATAATGTTGCTGTTGTTGTTATCTGCCATTGAGTTGGCCCCAAACTCACTGAGACACCATGAATGAAACGCACACTGCCTGGTACTGAGCCATCCCTATGATAGCGTGGAAGTGGAACCATTGTGATCCATGGGGTTTTCACTGGCTGATTTTCAGAAGTAGATCGCTAAGCCTTTCTTCCTAATCCTTCTTAGTCTGTGTGATGGTTAATGTTGTATATCAGCTTGGCTAGGCTATGATTCCCAGTATTGTGTAATTGTCTTCCAGTTTGTGATCTGATGTAATTGTCTTGCATTTTGTGGTATTGTGTAATTATGTGTTGTAAATCTTAAACCTCTATATGTAATGAGGCAGGATTAGTGTGGGACGTATCTTGAGTCACACCCTTTAGTGACTCAAGTCACATGCTTAGTCAAGTCACCAATTTGCTCAGATAAAGGAGTTTTCTTGAGGATATGGCCGATATCCAATATACAGGAATGCTCTGGCAAAGCTCTCGTGCTCTAGATCCTGCATTTGGCTCAGCATCATCTGACCTCTGGTTCTTGGAATTTCAGCCAGCAGCCTGCATCTGACCTACTGATTCTGGGGTTCACCAGCTTCCACAGCCCGTGAGCCAGCAGCCTATTGTCTGACCTGATTCACCAGCTTCTGCAGCCCTGTAGGCCAGACGCCTACTGTCTGACCTGCCAATTTGGGTTTGTCAGCCCCTGCAACCACATGAGTCAGGAGAAGCCTCCAGCCTGATGCCTGACCCATGGATTTGGGACTTGATAGCCTCCACAACCATGTGAGCTATTTCCTTGAGATAAGTCTCTTTCTATATGTATATATATACTTCGCTTGTTTTACTTCTCTAAAGAACCCAGCCTAAGACAGTCTGGAAGCTCTGCTGAAACCTGTTCAGCACCATAGCAACATGCAAGCCTCCACTGACAGATGAGTGGTTGCTGTACTTGAGGTGCATTGGCTGGGAATCAAATCTGGATCTCCCACATGGAAGGTGAGAATTCTATCACAGAACCACTAATGCCTCACGTACATAATGTAAATGTCTTCATGTTCCTTCCTGCATTGATCTAACATTTTGGTTTTACTTTCCGTGTGTCCTCTACATGTTTTTATTTATTCATGCAATAAACATTTAAAGGAGTCTATTTTTGTGCTCCAGGAACGGTGTCGAATATTGAAGCTGAGGGTAGAAAAGGTATCAGTATACCTTGCCTGGATTTAAAACTCCCAGAGGACAGAGATTTGTACATTACTAAGCACATTAATGCTTTGGGACTTAATACCACAAATACTGCTTGGAGTTGATGATAATGGTGGTAATAGATAAAATACCACAGAGAATGGCTTCCAAAATTTGGCAGCAAGGCGCAGTGAGCACTATAGCTCTCCTGTGCAGTGGTGTTCAAATCACTGGCAGGAGTGAGAGGCCAAGACTTCCAGTTTTTTAAGGAAGGTGCAAATGTGAATACGAAGTAAACACCGAAGAGGTTTTGGAAAGAAATGATTCACAGTGATAAAAAGGAACTTAGCTTATGAACTTTCTTCTCTATAAATATAAGGAGACAAACAATGGGCAGAAAGACTAAGTAGGCCTATCTTTCACTGAGAGAAAGTAGAATGTATAAGCCCATTATTACTATGGTAGTTAATTATTAATCCTATGCTTTTCTCTTGCTAGAACTTCTGGTGCAGTATATAATTCATGAGCACACTTTGCCAGCTTTCTGCCTGCTGGTTAATCTCTCTTTGGTGTCATTTTAGTTGTTTTGAAAGTCTCCAGTCCCCTTTTCTGCAACTCAGCATTTTAAGTCCTCGGATCTCCATTTTCAGGCATTTACTTGCATGTTCTGATCTTTTTTAACCTTAATGATTATCAGCTTGATTTTTTACGTTCCAAGATACTTCTTTGAGCCTGTTATAGATATTATCAACAAGTCTGTCACTATTCTAAAATTTTCATTTTACTATGAAGACACAGTAAAAAATAGAGCGTATGTGAAATCCGGTCTTCTTGCCAGCGGGAGCTAACATGTTTCTCCAGGTAGTGGCTGGTTGGTGTTTGTAAAGATGTTACATCACAGCATACGCAGGATCTACAAAACCTAGGATTGCAGCCACCTTTCTAAGGCCCCGGGTACTGGGGACTCATTGCTGGAAATTACTTTTACTCCAATTGTTCTTCAACAGTTAAAACATGTTTAGTGTGCTTGGTGAGAAGTTGTTGTGAACATGTGGAGGATAAGTACTGCAGTCCCCCAAAATGGACCTTTCTCTTATTGCCTATTTCAGACCGTTATTTCTTCCCCATCCCTAAAAAGCTCTAACTTTGAAGCTCACCCACTACTTCTCTTTTGTACTGTCATCTGCTGACCTCTGGGACATTTTTATCTAATTTCTCAAAATTGTTAGTGCCTTTCTCATTGTCATGCTCTCTAATACCACTCCTGCCTTAATTCTTGGCAATTTTAACCTGCATATTGATCATCCTTCCAGCTTCCATCTTTCCAAATCTTGGTTTCCTGGTACCTTGACCTCCTAACTAATGACTGTCCTCCATGCTACCTTAGTCTCTCATGCCCAGGATCATACCCTAGGCCTTGAAACCCAGACCAGGTGTTGGCCAACTGCAGCCAGGTAACATCCGGTCTGCAACCTATTTTCATAAATAAAGTATTACTGGGACACAGTCACACCCACTCACTATATGTTGTTTATGACCACTTTTGCACCACAATGGCAGAATTCAGTAGTTATGACAGAGACTGTCTGCATGTAAAGGCTAAATTATTTACTATCGAGCCCTTTACAGAAAACGTCTGCCAACTCCTGTCCCAGATCAATAACTGTCACCACACCCAAATCTCGACTTTGTGCGGACAACTCTGACTGCCATTGTCTGTCTCTCCAGTTTACGTTCTACTACTCAACCCCCCAAATACTGGCGCTCCCGCAAGGGCTCAGATCCATTATCTCTTTCATTATTTTTACATTTTTTACCTCCTAGACGTCCCCACTACTCTTACGCAAGTTAAGTCCCACAGTCAATTATTATAATCCCATTCTTTCACATACTCGTGAAAAATAACGACAATAACAACACACATCATCACTGTTAATTATTGAGTGCTTTCTATATACCAGACATCGTGCAGTTTGCTTTATATAAAATATTTCACTTAGTCCTTACAACAGTTCTTCCCCATTTTATAGATGAAGAGAAAGGCTCAGAAATGCAGAATAATTTTCCCAAGGTCATACAGTTCGTCCCAAGAGTTTAAACTCCGGTCTGTCTGAATTTAAACCCATTGATTTTAACCACTATGCTGTGCTCCCTCCCAAAAAGAGTCATATCGAATTTTGCAGTTCAAAACACTCTTTCACATATTATTTCATTTGATTCTCAAGGAGTAGTCTCCCATTTCCATAGGCTCTTGCACTAATGCTGTGATATAAAGAAGTGTAATTATTTCTGTGTTAAAGATGAGAGAGGTACAATTTGGAGGTTAAATGACTACATGAGGTAACACAGTTAGTGACAGAGCTGCAACTCGGACCCAAGTCTCTGGGCCCTACACCTGACCTCTGAGTCAACTGACTTAGTGGAACCTCAGTTTCCTGATGAATAAAACAAGGAGAGTGGACTAAGTGATTTACATTGCAAAATCTGCTTTTTAACCGTCTCTTGGTAGAGCCATAGTTATTGGTATCTCTAGCTCTTATATCTTGAACTGTTTCTAAGCTGGCTGAGAATTTTCTTACCGTTATTCACTCATTACTTTCCCCCATGCCTAGCCCTGAAAGTTTCGTCTTCCTACTTCCAATAATTTTCTGGAAATAACATCAGGAAAGATTACAAATGTTTGTATACTGGCATTGGTTTATGCTTCTGTTGTATCCTTGCAGTGTCCAACAGGGATGTTTACATCATAGAATCTTATAAAATAATTTATTCATGTAAAATAAATGGGATGAAATTATTTAAAATTATAAAAAATAAGTCTGATACCTATATATGACTATAACTATGCAAATGTTGTTAGTTTTACTTTGACTTTTTCAATGAATTTCTTTGATCATATTTGTGTATATGTATTCACACACATATACTTGTATTACTCTGTTGCAGGAAGTCACTGAAATATTTTGATGGATTTTTAAGGGGCTAGTCTAATTAATATAAGCAATCTAGATAATCCAAAAGCCCTTGATATTTTATAAAGTTATTTTGAACCTGTCTTATGAAACACTAGTGACCATTCTTGGTCTAATGTAATGTAATTTAAAGACATTGAGTTATCTGGAAAGTTGACTCAAATTTTTATTTCATTTGCTTGTTTATACACTCTCGAAGTACATTAAGTACAATTTTTGAGGGGGTTTATATTTGAGTTTATCTACATGAGGGAGGGAGGGAAGTTGAAAGAGGGAAGGGAGGAGAGGAGAGTTTTTATCTGAATGTGTTGGAGTTTTCTTCTAGGTTTTGGGGAGTTTTTTTTTTTTTAAATTCCTGTTATATATCAGGCCAAATACTTACTGCCTTTAACCAGGTTAGTAAATCTTTCATTCCAGCTCAGTTGAAGTAGAATTAGTGGATTGTTCTGTATGTGGCAGAGAAACGAAGAGAAATTAAACCTTTTTTAAAAGAGGGTATAAATAGGCTTGTTTTGAATTATTGTGGGAAATCTCCAGGGGTGTATAGATAGGCAATTGCTTTAATTGTTCCTGTTAAGATAATGTGTTCTGTGTTAAAGTTCAAAAAGTTATAATATTAGTTCATAAAATGATTACTCACAGGTTGGATTTACCAGTGTTTCAGCCACACCAAGTAAAATGTACTGGAGAGCCAGGTGGAAACAGGGCATGGAGGAAACAAGCAGAACTTTGCCTGAAAGAGTTTGCTCCATTGGAGGAAAGTCTTTTCTGTGTATTTCAAAGAAGCCAGCTACCATCACAGACAATGCAGCAGAAAGATTTCCAGCAACTGAAGGGAAAGAATGAGAAAGAAAAATGAATGAAAGGAAATGCTAGAAATCACTGTAATGGACCATAGTGTTTCTTACACATTTATACTAGGTGATGTTTCCTCAACATTATTATTATTATTATTATTTTCTCTATCCAGGCAGCAGCTAACTGCATTGTATACACATCCTGTGCTTGGGCTTTGGCCTCAGAAAGATCTGTGTTAACTCTTTCTTTCTAAACTTATTAGTTATATAACCTCAGATCGTTACTTAAGTTCATTATCACTTTCCTCAGCTTTAAGATGGGGTTAATGATTATTGCATATATACATTAATTAATATGCTATATTAATAATTATAATGAATTATTTTGTAAGATGGTTGTGAGATTTAAATAAAATAGCATACTGGTATTATTATCAATGTTGCAGATCGAAATTAGTAGCAGGTATTATCGAAGACAAAGCACTAGTTTTAAACTTTTATTCTCAGATGAGGTATATCATTCTAAACAATTTTTTAAGATACATATGAATTAAAAATGATTTGGAGAAAACTTTAAATAAAATTATCTCATCATATGATTTTAATCATTATTTTCAAAGTGGTTCTGAAATGTCAGGTTTTCTGACATGTCTCTAATCTTTGTGGAAAAAAAGGAAAGCAACTATTGGAGAAAGTTTTACTTTGGAAAAAACAAATATTTAAAGGGGTGCATTAGCTACATAGCTAGTATAAATGGAAGAAATTATTCAGAGAATGGTCCAGCTCTTCCCTTCCTTTTGTCTAGGGAATTTTGGTTGAAAATGAGTAGGAATTTTGTTACTGAGTTTATATCTACTGTAACCATTTTATTTCTCAATTTATCATTCATATTACTGAACTTAATCCCATCGTTAGAACAGAGGCAAACTTTAGCTTGATGGAATTTATTTGAAATTTAGAGATAGTCACATTTTGTTAACTTGCATAATATTTTAGATAAGGCCAAGCTTTCAGTTCAGAAAAATCAATCTCATGTTTAAATAGCTTAGTGTTTGTTTTGGTTGATAGAGAAACTGGTAGGTAAATTTCGTGATTATATCTCAGCATTTAAATGTATCAATAAAGTCTGCTTTTTACAGGGTCCCCAAGAAATGAAAGGTATAAAAAAGGAGGAAACCTGAATAACAGTTCAAAAATTTAAGGAATTTATTATTTATTGCTATTTTATAAATTAAGTTCCATAAAAGCCCATTCATAGTGAAGTAGAGATTGTGATTCTGTAAACAGCTCATATAAAAATATAAATTTCACATATTATCTGCCTTTAAGATCAAGTGTGTCTCATAACTGCAGTTATCTAGATTACCTGGCACATTAAGCCTCATCAGAGAGAAAGTTCATATGTCAATTCAATTTAATATTTACTCCGTTCCTGCTATATGCAAGGTACTATGGAGCCCTGGTGGCATGAAATGTTAAGTGCTTGACTGCTAACTGAAAAGTAGGTGGTTTGAACCCACCCAGACACTGCTGGAGAAAGACGTGGTGATCTGCTTCAGTAAAGATTACAGCCTAGAAAACCCAATGGGCACTTCTACTCTGTCACACACGGTTGTTACAAGTCAGGATCAACTTAATGGCACAACCCAACAACAACACGCTAGGCATGAAGTCCTTGGGTGATGCAAATGGTTAAGTGCTTTGTAGCTAACCAAAAGCTTGGTGGTTCGAATCTACCCAGAGGTGCCTTGGAAGAAAGGCCTAGTGATCTACTCAAAAATTAGCTGTGGAAAACTCTATGGAGCACAGTTCTACTCTGATACACATGGGTTACCATGAGTTGGAATTGACTCATTGGCAACTGATTACCTTGTTTGTTTGTTTATGCTAGGCATAAACCATACCTGTTGCCAAAGAGTCAATTCCCCCTCATAGCAACCCTATAGGACAGAGTAGAACTGCCCTGTTTATACTCTGGTTTCCAAGGAGCAGCTGGTAGATTCAAACTGCTGACCTTTTTGTTGGCAGCTAAGCTCTTAACCACTGTACCACCGGGGCTCCATGCTAGGCATAGTGGAGGATATAAGATGAAAAAGATCTATTCTCAGTCATGGCAGACTCATATTCTACAGGGGAATATAAGAATTTATTTCCAGTTGGAGGGGTGAGCAACATCATTTCATGCTTTAAATAGAGATAGTTTCAATAGGAAAAGGTGAAGGTGGCACAAATGGCATGAACAAAAGCACAGAATTGTGAAAATGTTCAACAAATTTTCAGAATGGTGAGAAATTGAAGATATTTGGAATCAGGAGAGAAGATAGATTGGGGACATTTGATACTCTTTTTAAAGAGGCATTTAATACCTTTTTAAAGGAATTCGGTAATTACTCTGAGGATAATAGAATCCTTGAGGATTTTAGACACAGTGAAATGATTAGAATTGTCATTTTAGATGATTACCATAAAGCTCATTTGCTGGGTAGACTGAATGGGAGAGATAGTGGAGGTAGAAAGATAGTTAGGAAGTTATAGAAAAAACCTTGGTAAAGTATAATGGAGGCTGGAGTTACAATCGAGGCTCCCACTGCAGATAAATATAAGGAGGATGGAAACACAAGCTGTAATAGATTCAACTAATAAAACCATAGCAAGTAAATCAAGGAGCAAACAGATATCAAAGCTGAATATGAGTCTATGTGACTGGAAAGATGACATGGTGGTGACATTAATATAAATATGTCCATTCATTTTAATATTTAGTCTGTTCCTGTTAAATTGGAACTCTAGTACATGTGGAGAAAGTAATGAATTTGATTTTGAACAAGTTGAATTGGAGTTACAAAGGGGTTATCTGAAAGAGAAGTGCTCAGAAAACAATTGAAAATGTGAATCACAGCCCCGGATATTCATTGCATCAGCAGAGAAAGATTTATGAATCATTTGCTTAGGGCTGGTATTTAGAGTTGGGTGAAATTGAAAAAGAACAAGAAGATGTCTAGGCAATGTCTTTGGACGTTTACATTTGGGGACAAGAAAACGAAGTAACACCGCTGAAAAAGAGGTCAGAAATGTAATGTTTCAGAAGGAAAGATAAGGGAAGCTTTCAAAGAGGAGGGTACACAAAACATAACTTTTGATGCTCTCCTTCAATTTTTCTCCTTCAGTCTTCCTCATCTTCTCCAGTACATTCAGACATGGAAACCAGACATCTGGAGTCCCCTGTCTCTGTTTCTCCTCCCTCTCAATTCATCATTAAGTTCTTTAGATTCTGTTTTCAAAATATGTTGTGAATCAATCTATTTCTCTCATAACCACTGCTGTTATCATTTTTATTATTACATTTTTTTTATTGTACTTCAGGTGAAGGCTTACAGAACAAATAGTTTCTCATGAAACAGTAGTACACATATTGTTTTATGACATTGGTTAACAAC